TCTCAAGAGCGCCCAGATTTACTTCTCCTCTGAGGCAAGCAAAATTCAGGGAGACAAGTGATGTGCAGTTCTCTGGAAAGCAGCTAAGCCAGTAACTACTATGGTCATCAATTTCATTCTCTTGCAGGTCCAGCTCCCTCAGATACCTAAACCATTCGGAAACAATACACATTAATACCGATGAATGGTTCCTACTATTATCAATCTACCGTTCTTTGAACAACACACACAGCAGCTAAACCATTCTGAAATGCTCCAAAGTCAAACTTAAAAACAACACAATAGACCATCCATCCATCCATCCTTGTAATGCTGAGTTCAGACAGAACAAAAAGGCATAGAAAACCAACATAGAGCAGATTTCTTCTATTACAGCCCAATAGGTAAAGATCAACAGATTCCTAAACAGAACAGAAAAGGGGGTTTTTACCTGCAATTGGAAGCAATGGCTGCAATGCCATTGGTGGTGAATCCTTCACATTTGAGGAGGAACAGGGAGTTGAAATCGGGGAAGGATCGGGAAAGGAGCTCGAGGTCGTCGTCGGTGACGACCATGCGCTTGAGGCGGAGCTCCTCGAGGGCGATCCGACGCTTGGCTAAGACTTGGATCCAAGGGTAAACGAAGCAGCCCCAATCATGAGGGACCCAATTGAAATCGGCGATATGGGGCTTCCCCTTCAGAGTTAGGGATTTGACGGCCGGGAATCTCCCGATGAGCCTCTCCGGCGTGATCGCATAGCAGTTTCCGACGAACACTCTGTGTTGCTAAATCTCTCAACTCTGTACCATAATTTGCACACCAGCGACACCGCGTTCCGGTCCCGGTGAGAGGTGACGTGTTCCAAAACCTGTTCTAGCACCCGGCCCTCCGCCTCCATACTCCGGCCCGCCGCCGGGCCCTCCTCCGCCCTATTGAATGCTCCTCCTTCCATTTCTTCGATTCGATTCAATTCCTAATATGATCGATGATCATTTGTTCCGACGCTTTCGATTTCTACGCTTTTGTCCGTGTGATCTTGGCGATTCTGTTTAGTGAAAATCGATTGGATTAGAAGAGATTTGGATTTGTTTGGATTTCGAATTTTGGAATTCTACTTTACTTCCCACTCACTGCTTGTATATGACTTTTGACTATCGTGAGCACCAACGGCTTCTTTTTCTTTTTCTTTTTCCTTTTTCTTTTGTCTTTTCTTTGCTTTTCTTTAACTTCTTGGTTCGAGGAATATGTCAATTACCGCTGAGCTATGCTCACTTTGGCGGAAGAATATGCAGTTTGAAACTTGGTTTAATGTTCCTTCATCATTCTTTTTTATAAGATCATATCTTCAGAAAGAGATTTTAAGGGTGAGCAATAATGACTACAATTCTGCCGACACTAACGTATAAGGGACTGTTTGTTAACATTTTTATTTTTTATTTATGTTTTTTAATTTCAATAAAGAAAAATAGAATTGTGTTATCTTCAATTCCAATAAATTCAATAATGATAAAACAAAATCTTTATTTAGGTAAGAACAAATTGAAACCAGAACCAAAAAAACAATAACAATGAAACTTGTTTCTTTTTTTGTTTCCAAAATTTCTATACCATTTTTAGAATGTTTTTAAAATATGAGAAATATATAACATAATTAAATAGTTATCAAATGTTTAAATTTCTTAATAAAATAAAAAACGAATAATAAGAAATGAGAAGGTTCTTTTAAGAGACCAATACATTTTACTTCTTTAGAGTATTTCTGAAAATGAATTTATATGATTGTTGAGAATTATTAATTACTACTCTTCAGACTCTTCCTCTTAAAAATTTATCAGTTTGTTCTTAAACTTAGAATAATTGTGTATATTTAATTTCTAAATATTAAAAAAAACTTCGTGCCTTTTTATGCAATCCATGTTTCTTATTTCTAAATTTTTCAAATCAAAAGGTTAAAATAGTGGAAATTATGAAAATAACATTTTTATGTTTGCATTGTTTTCAGGTTTTAAATTTGGAGCTAGAATTATATTAAGAAAAATAAATTCTTTTATAAATGTATTTGTTCATGTTATAAATCCATTTCATTTTTTTTTTTAAAATACAACACGTAAAACACAATATATTATAAAGGTTAAAATACTACTTTATGTTTGTGTACTTTCAACATTGGTTAATTTTGGTTTATGTACTTTTAAAAATTTATCATTTTTGTCTCCTCATTTTATTTTTTAATTTCATTTTCCTATCAAAATTTCAACAAGACACTACACTCAATATATTTTTTTTGTAGAATTTATGTTAAACTTTTGAAAATATGAACAGTTCACATGAAATTGTTGGAGAAATTATATTTCCTAGTGAAAAATATAATCTTTATTGATATTCGTATAGTTAACACAATTCCTAATATTTATCCTCTTATTATTTCTCTTGAATTCTGGGATGATTGACTCAGTTTGATCTTGATCGACCTTTTGGCTGTTGGTTGATCTTGATTGGCCTTCTTGCTGCTAGTTGATCTTGATCGCCCTTCTGGCTGCTGGTTGATTTTGACTTGTTGATGTTGATCGACCTTTTGGTCTTCTGCTTATGGTTGATCTTGATCGGTCTTCCTTGTTTATCTTGATGATTTTATCCTTCTGGATTTATTGATCTTGATCCCTTTAGCTTCTCTCTTAAGCTTTAGGTATCCGCAACCTAGTTGGTCCGTCAAAGCGGCAGACTCTAGCACCAAATCAATCAAACTTGGCAAGTCATCATTTTGTGGGATCTTGATCCTCTGGAGGGATAGGTTAAAGTGATAAATTACCCCTAATTTGAGCCTTATTGAATTTTTAATCTTTTAATTTAATAGAAAGACACTTGTCAAATTTGCAGAAATTCTAACGAGTATTGGGTTCAATCCCTGTTAATGTGTCAAATATAAAAATATGAATTTTAGTCAAAATTTTGATATTCTTATCCGGCATTAAACCTGATTTGAATTTTAGTAGATTGTATTTTCTACCTTAATTCCAATTTAAATTTTAAATTATGATTCGAAGTAGCAATTGAATAAAATCTTGGATATATTTGAATTTGGCTTAAATTTGGAATAAGAAAAATTTGAATTTGAATTTTTATTCAAATTTCTAATTTAGATAAAATTTCAAATATGCCCAAATTCTATCGAGATTTTGTATAGATTTGTAAGATAAAAAATATACCTAAATTTAAATTCTAACGGGATATTGAATATAATTTTGGTAAGATCTAAAATATACACAATTTTCGGATATTATATTTCATGGTGAAAATATAAATAGTACAGTGAATACAATCTCTAATATTTATTATTTTATTCTTTCCTAAATTAATCCAATAGAATCCTATCTGTTCTAATAATAAAGAAAAATGGTACTTCTGGATTGATCTCATCCTTTAATAAAACATAATTTCTTTGTTGAGTAATAACTTAATTCTTCGCTAAAATACTATTTATTATAAATATCAATAACTCATCCTTTTCAATTACGAAAAAAAAATAGTCTATTCCATTAGTTCATGAATTTGGACATGAGTTCTATCTCTATAAATAGGGATATCTGAAAGAAAATTGATCGACTTCTCATTGGTTGTTGAAAGGGATTTTGGGATCATCAAAGATTTTGATCAATTTTGTGGTATCTCAGTCTTCTCGAGGGATAGGTTAACTGACCCTATATTTATAGAGTTTCTCATGGGTTTTATTTGGACCTGGGCTTACCAGATGGGCATAAGCCTTTGCTATCACGAGCTTTATTGAATTTTTAAAATCTTTTAATTTAAAATTTAGACACTTGTCAAGTTTTAATTGATGTCAATTTATTGAGATAATTTTGTATTAGACACTTTTTAAAAGTACACAAACAAAAACAAAAAGCGAATAACTAAAATAAACCAAAATTATAATAGTTTATATTACTAAAGTTTTTATTAAATCATTTGTTTTTATTTTCAAATCACCGACCAAATAAATGTTTAGTCAATATATTTTCTAATTTAATTGACAAAATATTTGTTGATGTGACAATTGATGCACCACCGGTTAAGATAAGTTTTGCTCCAATTGATAGGATATAATGGATAATATAATGATGAATGTGTCTCATCAAAATAAAACTAAAATTTGATGATGTATTTGAATTTTTCTTTTATAACTGAAGAATGAGTACAGGTGATAAAAACAATTTAATAAAATGCAAATGGCCCCAAGTGAAAATAAAGAAATGCAGCAGAAAGCAGAGCAATATAAGAAGAAATGAAGAAGCAGTTTAGGACTTAGAAAACTGGAATTTGAAAGTCTGTCTATAACATCAATGCAGATTACAGATTGAAAAACTCCCAATAATTACAATAACACCAATACACTAATAAACTCACATAGCTAAGATAAAAATAAAAATCCACTGGTCAGTAGAGCCCTACAAGAAGAAGAAGAGAAAAAAGAGGTACAAGTAATTCAAAAGCCTGAAGGAAAGAGTATCAAATCTACACTGTCCACACAAACTTTGGTGCATCTTTCCTTGGCCCTACTAATGTACGGTAGAGATACATTTTTCCTACTCTCTTCCCGTCGTCACGGCCGAATTCCGATGGATCATTCTCGTTGATGATCTCCACGTTCAGCCTCGGCATCTTCTTCGCTAGAGTCTTGCAGCCACCAAGAGTAATCTCGCAGGACGACATCCAAAGGGATCGCATTGTTTCATACTTCCCGACGTCCTGCAGAAGTGCCATGTCTCCGAACGGGCTGTCCATGATCTCGAGCTTGCGAAGTTTCTTGCAACCGTTAAGCACATGAATCATTCCCTTGTCAGTCCCCCCAGCAAATGCTAGAGAAAGCATTTCCAGATGCTTTGCGTATTCGCCAATGTAATAGAAGACCTGATCTGAAAGAAGGCCCGAGAGAGATAAACGTCTCAGTCCTTTGCACGCTTGGACAATCGCCCCAAAACCTTCATCCAGTGGCTGATTGGTTACAGGGTCCGCTTTCGTGGGGTCAAGGATGCACAACCTGAAGCGGATGAAGTTCGGGTTGTTCTTGGCCACGGTTACCAGGGCAGCATTGGTCATCTGATGGCAGAAGTATAATATCGAATGAAGTTTCGGGCAACCCATCGATATAGCAACCAAACCTTCTTCTGT